CGCTGGCTGAAGATGAACTGCTCCAGGCTCTCCTTCTGCCGGCTGGCGGTCCTCAGGCGCTCGGCCGTGCTCTGGAGGAGGCTCTCCTGCCTGGAGAGCTTGGTTCTCAGCTCCAGAAGCTCCTGTGTCGCGGACTCTCCCTGGGGAAGAGGAACAGCTGGCTGTCGATGGTCAGAGGCCTACACACCGCATCTCGTGGCTCTTACAATCCGAAGCAGGATTCCTTGATCTTCCCAATGATTTCTGGAGTGGATTCCATGGAAGTCTCAAAACCCTGCAGTGCTGACAGCTCAGGATGAGCCAGCAGGTGGGACACTGAGTACCTGGGAGTTCCAGCAGGTGGGATACTGAGGACCTGGGGCCCTGAGCCAGCAGGTGGGACACTGAGCACCTGGGAGTTCCAGCAGGTGGGATACTGAGCACCTGGGAGTCCCAGCAGGTGGGACACTGAGTACCTGGGAGTTCCAGCAGGTGGGATACTGAGGACCTGGGGCCCTGAGCCAGCAGGTGGGACACTGAGTACCTGGGAGTTCCAGCAGGTGGGATACTGAGGACCTGGGGCCCTGAGCCAGCAGGTGGGACACTGAGTACCTGGGAGTTCCAGCAGGTGGGATACTGAGGACCTGGGGCCCTGAGCCAGCAGGTGGGACACTGAGTACCTGGGAGTTCCAGCAGGTGGGATACTGAGGACCTGGGGCCCTGAGCCAGCAGGTGGGACACTGAGTACCTGGGAGTTCCAGCAGGTGGGATACTGAGGACCTGGGGCCCTGAGCCAGCAGGTGGGACACTGAGTACCTGGGAGTTCCAGCAGGTGGGATACTGAGGACCTGGGGCCCTGAGCCAGCAGGTGGGACACTGAGTACCTGGGAGTTCCAGCAGGTGGGATACTGAGGACCTGGGGCCCTGAGCCAGCAGGTGGGACACTGAGTACCTGGGAGTTCCAGCAGGTGGGATACTGAGGACCTGGGGCCCTGAGCCAGCAGGTGGGACACTGAGTACCTGGGAGTTCCAGCAGGTGGGATACTGAGGACCTGGGGCCCTGAGCCAGCAGGTGGGACACTGAGTACCTGGGAGTTCCAGCAGGTGGGATACTGAGGACCTGGGGCCCTGAGCCAGCAGGTGGGACACTGAGTACCTGGGAGTTCCAGCAGGTGGGATACTGAGGACCTGGGGCCCTGAGCCAGCAGGTGGGACACTGAGCACCTGGGGTCCTGAGCCAGCAGGTGGGACACTGAGCACCTGGGGGTCAAGCAGCCTGCAGGCCTACACTCCTGCTGCTGAGAGGACCTGACTCCAGGACAGCTCGAAAACTCCCAGCTGTGACCAAGAGCTCAACCTTAGTGCTGACGTCCTACATCACTGGGCATCACACAGAAGCCTGGTAATTAGGGATATTATGCGTAGGGAGGCAGGGCTGGCCAGAGACTATCTGCACTTTTGTAAATACTTGTGCCAACCGCAAGATGGCAAAACCCTCCCCTTTGGAATTAGCATAGGTGGGTCCCCTAGGTGTTGGCAGCTAGAATCTGGAGCTAGAAGCCCTGGAGGGGATTCTGACCTGCCTGTCCAGGTGCCGCCTACCAGGGAGCAGGCCTGAGGTCTGAGAGCACGGGGGGCTGACGCTCCAGGCCCGGCCCAGAGATGCAGACTGAGTGCTCTATGGGTTCCAGCAGGCGGCCCTCTCACGGGACATCCTGGGACCCTGCTTGGCTCTGTGGGTGGTGGGCGGGCAGGGGCACTGATGCTTGAACTTGTCCCTGAACTTCTCAGCCCCACTTCAGGAAGTTAAAGAAACGGAGCATTTACGCTACCAGGCTTCTCCTGTCTCTCCCTTCTCTACATCCTTTCTTTCCCCTTTGATTTCTATCCTGGGGGTTGGGTGGGAGGAGAAGGGATGTGGTCAGAATGGCACCGACAGCAGCCCCCACAGACAGAGGTCTCCCCCAGGTCCCGTCTATCTGACTCGCCCTGGGCTCCTGATATTCAGGATCTGCGGGGCTGGGGACGCAGCGCGGTAATGGGGGGCAGAACCAGAAAGGGTGCTGGTGTCTTACCGCTTTGCCAGGCAGCACAGGGCTGTGGGAGTTGGGCAAGGCCGCCCGCCAGAACATGGTCAGGAGGGAGGCCGACTCATCCAACACGTGGCCCAGGGCACTGGCGCTGCTGCGAAGTTCACTGACGCCTTCGCTGCCCAGCACCTGGGAGAGAGGGAGGAGCGCGGGCATCACTGGGGCTGAGAGATCACTTCCCCTAAGCATGTTGTCAGGATCTTAAGCTTTAAGCTTCCTTTGTGAGTGAGGCAGACACAGGCCAGATGCACGAGGAAGCCTAGCCTGGAAGCCCAGCCCCCGGGCTCAGCGGTGACCTCCCACCTGCAAGGACTCAGCGGATTCCAGCTTCCCCCACATTCTCTTTACTTCTAGTCCTGCTCCAAGCTCTGGAGTCTAAAGTCCTGAAGGGGAGCAAACTATACCATGAGGGCATACTGATAAATTAGAATTAAAGTTACTTGAGGAAGAGCAGGTGCAAGAAAGACACTCTGACCCTCCTTTTTCTCCCTGAAAAGAGGAAATAAATCTCCCGTGTTGATGGCAGGAGCGGGTGGAGGTGGAAGAGGGCATAAGTGGTGAGGGGGAAAAGAAGCAATCAATGAATGCATGAGTAAGTGGGAGAAGGAGCTAAAATCAGAAGAAAGGGCCCTGGCCAGTGTGGCTCACTTGGTTGGGTGTCGTCCCGGGCACCTGAAGGGTGCTGGTTCCATTCCAGGTCGGGGCACCTGCAGGGATTGCAGGCTCCGTCCCCGGTGGGGAGCATGCCGGAGGCAGCCGATTGATGTTTCACTCTCACATCGATGTTTCGCTCTCTCTCTCTCTCCCCCTTCCTTTCTCTCTAAAAATCAATTTAAAATAAAAGTCAGAAATAAAAGGGCCCAGGATAGGGGCACCCAGGCACTGTGATGTGACTACCTTGGAGCCCCGAGCCTCGAGGCCAGGGCAGCTGCAGGCGGATCTCACGGCTGACGCGATCTTGCTGGCCAGCAGCCTGCCCTCCCCGATCTGCTGGCTCAGGGCGCTGTAGTCGTCGATGTGGCCGACCACATGGCGGCCGTGCTTATTGGCGAAGCAGCCGTCAGCAGCATCGCCCTCCAGCTTGGGAGGACTCTTCACTCCATCAAAACCCAGATCTGGAAAATAAAGGCACAGCAAACCCCACTGCTCACATCAACCCGAAACACACAACGAATGCTGCAAGGGCCAGGGCAGTCGTGGAAAAGCACGGCGTGAAGTCCAGATGGTCTGGGTTCTATGCTTTCTCATCTTTCTTACATCATCTCACAATGATAGAATTGCGGGAGGCAAATTTTGTGTTTACTGCACAAGAAATATTTGGGACAAATGTTTTTAATTAAAACGTCTGGGATGAGAAGACAGAGAAAGAGAGGAGGCTGGATTCAGAGAGCACTTTCAGGAAGGGAGCGACTTTGTGCGATGAAGCAACAGCAGAGCAAAAGGAGACCCACAGGAGAAAGTGTAATGACAGGGAAGGCGGCCAATGAGTGGCCAACGGCCTTGGGGCAGGCAGAGAACACGCCCTAAATTCAGACAGTGTGTGTGCAGAAACCCGAGGGTTACCTGCAGTAACAACTTTCCATCACCAGCCCCTGTGCCCTCTGGTTGCCATAGTTACCATTTGTCCTACTGAGGAGGGCGGTGTCCGGACCGGGAGCCGTGAAAGAGCCCGGGAAGACCAGGGCTGGGTTCATGCCGACGTCCCGAACGGGAGGGGAGGCAACTGCATCTGGGGGTGAAGACAAGGACAGTTCTCAGGGGCCCTGGGACACGCTGCTCCCACGCACAGGCACACCTCCTCCCTCGGCCCCTCTCACACCCACGGGCCACAGCACAAGCAAGAGCACATCAACCACGTGGTGCGGAACAAGATGTTCCTGAAGTTGAAGGGTGGAGAAAGCAAAGTCTAATTTTAAAAATTATCAGGTATATATTTTTCTAACCCCAGTTTTGAATACAATTTTGCATGTAGTGTCTAAAACTGTGCTTTGTAACAAAGTATAAATATGCATAAATATAGGTAACATATATGTTAAAAATACTGGATCAAGGAATAAAGGGACATATGGGTGACTAAACCCAGAATTCTTTTTTAATATATTTTTATTGATTTCAGAAAAGAAGAAAGAGGGAGAGAGAGATAGAAACATCAATGATGAGAGAGAATCATTGATCAGCTGCCTCCTGCACGCTCCCCACTGGGGATGTACGCCGCAACCTGGGTATGTGCCCTTTACCAGAATCAAACCCGGGACCCTTCAGTCCACAGGCCGATGCTCTATCCACGGAGCCAAACCAGCCAGGGCTAAACCCAGCATTCTAGTCACCCTTCCGATGAGGAGTTAGTGCTGGGAAAATGCAGCAGCATGGGAAGAGCAGGAGACAGGAGCCTTGGGGGCCAGGGGGGCCGGTGGGAGACCAGGCAGCAAGCCTTCAGTGGAGGAAGTGGCACGTGTCCTGAAGACAGAGACCATCCTGCTCAGCCAGCGTGGCTTGGAGCCTGCTCCCTGTCAGGCCTCTGTGGTGGGACGGGACGAGGGGCAGTGACTGAGGTCCCCTGGTGCCAGGGGAAGGGAAGCCAGGCTAGAGAGCCTGGACAGCAGCAGCACCGAGAGGAACGCAGCCTGGAAATCGGAACCTCTGGTTCGGTTCTGGGTGGGATCTGAGTCCCATAAGCCTTAGCAGGTCGGTTAACGTGTCAATGTTTTCTCCCGCAAAAACAGAGCGTAAAACCTGCCCTGCCGTGGATGAAATTATTTGAAAACTTGTGGAAAGTTTTAAAACACTCTACAAATACAGGAGTCGTTAAGGCACATAGCTGTCAATCGTTGAGCAATTCTTACTGTGCCAAGCACTTGTAAATTATTTCATTTAACACTCCAAATAACCACACAAACTCGATATTGTTACCCGCATCTTAAAAAATGAGGAAAGGCAGCTTCAATACCCGAGGAGCTCAAACACCTGGCCCCAGGGGAACACGGGTAGGTGGCACCTCAGGGTCGGAGGCAGGGTTGAGCCTGAAGCCCGCGCCCCGCTCAGGCACTGACTACACTGGAGCATCTCCGATGTCACCCTGACCTTAACTAAGGAGCTTGGAGGAGGCAAGCTGTCCCTTCCACCACAGACGCCTGGGGGCCAGGCAGCTGGCTGCGGGCTTCCCCATGCCCTTCCCTTCCTACCTGGGAGGAGCGGCTGCTTGTCTCCAGGGCCCGTGCTAGCGGGCGAGCTGTGGCTGCCGGCGGGGCCAGGGCTGGCTCTGCTGGCACCCCGGTCCAGCTGCTGCTCCAGCTGCAGCCGCAGGCTGTTGTTCACCTGAATGCTCAGCTCCAGCTGCCCTCTCAGGGCGCGGATCTCTGCCACCAGGTGGCTCAGGTCGCTGCTCAAAGGGGCCTGGTGACAGGCATCCCAGGTGTGAGCTGAAAGCAGAGAGGGAGGGGTTGGTAGCTCTGATCCAAGTATTTCTCAGCATTTGTCAGACACTCTGACATTCCTTTCTCCAGGACTCACTGCCATCGCAGAGTCCCAGGCAACAAGTACATCTGTGATGGGAATGCCACTTGTCCCGTGTGGAGTCTGGCACACGCCCAAGTCCCGACTTTTTCTGAAATTACCCACATGCATCTAGAGGGCATTTGATTGGCAGCTGAGGTCAAGCCTATCATTTCAACTCCATATTGACTTGAGTCCTGCTGGCTAGTGAGCAGGGTCCTCCAAGACAGGAAGTTAGCACAGAACAAAAGAGGGGCAGGGGCTGGGGGAGGGGAGACTGATGACCCCCACGCTCAGGAATCAAGGAGAGAAGGAGGAAGGCGCCAGACCTTCGGCAGCCTGTAACCATGGGAACCAGGCGCCACAGACTAGGGATCATACCTGATTGAACTTTACCTTCTCCATGTTTTTTACCTCTACTCACTACACAGTCTATTTGTAGCTACTGGGAATGAAGAGATGTGAGAAGTCACCTATAAGACCACAACAGCTTAGCTGAAAACTTTGAGGCCAAGTGTATTTGCAAAGGTAAAATCTGTTTTGGTTGCTAGCAAGGCAATGGGATGCATGTACCGTGTGTGCCACACACAATCCACGCACCCAGCTGCCTCTGGGCCATAGACCTTATCGGACGCATCAATATTTCTGCAATGACTTATGTGAATATTCTCACTAAGTGGGATAAGTGGAGACTGTGAACGCACTTTGTCAGTTCAGTTAGGTTTCGTCACCAAATGAGCACATGAGAAAGATTTCCATTCAGAGCTCTTGCTGGATTATAGCATTAAGGACAAAGGGTTCTGGGGCTTTAGTGGAAGTAGCTTTGAAATGAATCCTAAAAGACCCACAAAAACGGATAAAGGCACAAAAGGGGAGGTGATTCGGGACACTAACCCAAAGTTCCATGATGCTCCTTCTTCTCTTTCTTTCCCTCCATCCAAATTCTCACAACATTTTGCTTATTAAAACATGCTTTTCATTTATCCATTCCCCTTTCTCTTCCTGATAGCACCTTGGATTAGTCTCTCATCACTTAGCACCCAGGACATCACTACACCCTTTCAGGAGGTTTCCCGACTCTAAGGTCTTCCAGCTCCCACCAGGCCCACCAGTCTCACCCTCCTAAGATTCCGTTTCCACCATGGATCTATTTTGCTCGGAAAGATCGAACTCATTTTCCATCGCCTGCTTCACAGAATGTAAAGTTTCAGCCTCCCAGTAGGTCTTCTGTCTGCTGGTAACTCTCCTTCGGCTGATCTGACTTCTCACCGCCCCCCCTCCCCCCCAGTACAAAGCTCTCCTCCAGGCAGGGAGGTCTCCCAGCCCAGTACACCCAGACTTCGTACATCAGCTCTTCTCTCAGCCTCCTGGGCCCTCTGTACTTCTTCAAGTCCCAGTTCAGTAAAATTGGGAAACTTGATCAAGTTTTATGAAAATTCAAATTTGGCTAAAGAGTGAAAATTCTTAATAAACCATATTGTTTATGGAATTTTAGAACATATAATCAAAAATACCTCAGGGCTGGAACACTCGGAGAGTCAACTCCTGTCCAAAGCAGGAGCTGCTTCTATGTCATCCTAGACAAAGCATCCCTCTCTACTGAAACGGGGCTTGGGAGGGGAGCTTACTCCTCCACAGTCCGGCCTCTCCACCACCGGAAGGCTCCAGGGACAAGGAAAGCGTGAACTGCAGATGCAAATCCCATCGCCCCTCACCCCTGGCCCTCTGTTCAGCCCTCTGGAGAACACAAACACACCTGACCGTTCTTCAAATGTTCAAAGCCAGTCCCCATCTTCTCAGGATCTTTCCAAGCCTAAAAACTGTTAGTTTCTTCAACCAGTTTGAGATTTCTAGTCCCTCAACCTCATCGCCCATGTCTTCACGATGTTCCTTAGTTTGTCAATGTTCCTTACAAGACGGTACCCACAACCTGACAATATTTCAGACATGGTCTCACCATAGGGACACCACGCTCGCACCACGGTGGTCTCGGGGTGAGGTGGCTCCTCTATCAACCTTGGCCTACAGCATCCTTGTGGAAATGTGTTTCCACCTCTTGCCCTCATCCGCGAGCCCATGGACAGCTACAGACCCAGGATTTCCACATCCTGTATTTCTACCACTATTTTTATTTATTTATTTTTTATTAAATTTATTGGGTGCCACAGATGATTTTAATCAAGCTCAGGACTTTTAAAAATTATTATTTCAGCCGGTGACAAACATCTTCTTTAAGAGTTTAAAATTTAAATCCAGCCTTGAAATGTAGGTCCTATTAGTGGTATTTCCATAAAAACAATTCCTGTATCTTTTTCTTTTCTCGCTAGGAAGGGGTCATAGTGGGAGCAGGCGGCCTGCTGCATGGGCCGCATGGTGGTCGGGATGTATTTATTGTTCACACTAGTCAAGACCTTTTCAATTGATGACACCATCAGGACAGTTCTGTGCACTTAAACAATATCATTGTATATCTGGACCTTGAGGAACTGGCTTCTGCCCTAGATGGTGGGTAAGGTTTGACTCTGTTGTCTCTTTTTAAGAATGTCTAGGCTCGACCTCACTGTTGTCACCAACCTCCAGGCTTTGTGTATGAGAGCTCCCCTGTTTGGACTGGGAGCCCCAGGCCTGGCTGGCGGTTTTTCTGAGACAGGCTGTAGCTTTCCAGCACCTGTCCACTCCAAGGTGAAGAAGACCCCACTGGGATCCTAAGCAGGGGCAGGAAGCTCACGGCCAGGGGGCGGGAGGGAGAACTCATACCTTTCGGCCCCTTCTTGGAACTGCCGTGAAGCGCCTCGTAGATCTGCAGCTCCGACTGGAGGGTCTGGAAGAGCTGCTGCTTCTCCGCACACTGTTGCTGCAGGAGGGCCAGCTTGTGCTGCAGCCTGCGGGGAGCGGGTGGGAGAGGGCGCTGAGCGCCGACAGGGCGCTGGGCCACACCAGGGCCAGCCGAGCCAACCTTCACACAAGAGAGGCTTAGCCCGAGCTGTCAACGCGGGGTCACAAAGCCCCTGGCTTTGATTTTACAGGTGGGGGATAGAGGCTGGAGAGGGGAAGTGCCTCTGCTTGGAGTGGTGTTATAGCTACAGTGGCTGGGACACACCAGCACAGCGTTCCTACTGCCCCGATGCTCTTCTCACGCTGCCAGGCAGTTAGCGTTTAGGCTGGTGCCGGGTTCTACCTTCCCAGAGAAGTCCCTCCTTCTGTGCACCTCACCCATAAATCAGCAATTGCAAAGGGGAAACAGGTCCCCAAAAGGGCCTTTAACTGTCTTGCCAAGATCCCTTCTTCTACACCTGAAATTGGGGCCTCCTTCCTTATCAGGGGGCTCCCCCTGACCTGGAGTCCTTCTCCTGGAGGGAGAGTCGTTCCTCCTGGAAATGCAAGATCTCCTGCTGCTTCTCCTTCAAGTCTTCCAGAAGCTGCTGCCGGTCCACCTTCTGGTGCTCCAGCTCCACTTCCAGCTCTTGCAGCCGGGACTGCGAGGCCAGCAGCGCCTCCCTCAGGCACTCTGCCTCCTGGGAGTGCTCTGGTGAGCGGAACACAGGAGCGTTTAGAGTGGGGGCAGAGGTCAGCAGGAAGGTGAGCCCAAGCACGTCATCCGGCAGACAGAGCTAAGGCAAAAGGAAGGCCAGCACACGCTGCAGC